AACAAAAGTAACAGTAGCCGTGGGCAGGGATGCTGTCGCATAGTTGGCAAAATGCGCGGCGGCTGCCGTAGAGCTGGAGGTTGGATGTTGCTGTAGTTAGCCCATGTGGTGTGGGAGGCTGTCGCGGGACCGTGAACGTTCCCTAGTGTGAGTGGTAGTGTTGGTGCGGGTTGCCGGGGTGGTTTGTGGTGGAGGGCCTGTCCAGTATGAGTGCAGGCGGGCTGCGTCTTGTGGTGGGGTACGTGGTGAAGGAGAGGGTGAACGGCTGGAAAGCCCGGGTGGTAGTGGAAAACCTGGCGGTATGTTGTGGATAATAGCCAGGTTTCTGCTGGAGAGTGTGGCTGTGGGGTTGATGCGGTATTGTCCTGGGAGCCCGGGGCCGGTGATAACAAATTGAAGGAGTCGTCGAGCCTGGGAGAGGTCATCGATCAGGCGGTCCAGCAAGATCAGGTCGCCGCGCAGTCGGTAAAGGAGGTTGTATGCTCTCTGGTCTTGAAAATAAGTCTGGCTTGGCATAGGTTCAGTGTGGAATGGGTGACGGCGGAGGTGTTGGTTGACCATAGAGAGGAGGTCCAAAGAGCCGTTGAGGGATTGAAAATCGGGTTGGGTACAAATCGAAGGTTGGAGCCAGCTCGGAGGGCACTGTGGGAGGTAGTGTTCTGTATCAGCGGGGTTGCTATGAGGGCGAGCGCGAGGATGGGCCATGACAATTGATGGACTGAGATGGCGTACAAAAGGCTGCGGAGCTGAGGTGAGCCTGAAAACTGACAAATCGAAGGTGGGCAACTTGGTGAACATAGACTGGGTATGAAGAACTAAAAGTCAGTGCATGTCAGTGGATTTGTCGTGCGGCACGCCGTAAGGAAAGTGGGTGAAACGGATCAAATGAAATAACTGCCAACTGGCGTGAGTGGAGATTTCTCCGGATGACTGTCTTCACTAAGCGCTCGCTCAGCAGCCGGCGGCAGCAGCACAGCAGCAGGAGTCGTTGGATATTGTGAAGTCGGTGGCGTTGTGGTGGGGGAAGGGGAGAAGTCCGGTTGTGAATGTGGTGCTGGGGAAACTGCTGGTGATGTGGGTGTTGGTGAGGGGGAAGGTGCTTGTCTTGGTGGTGCGGTTGGTAGTGGTGTGGAGAAGAGTTGCTGGTCCTGCTGACGTTGCATGTCTTTGAGTTCTTGCCATCGGGCTTGGCATTGCTCAACGGAGAAGCCCACTCGGCGGGCCACAGTGGTCCAGTTGGGACGAAGTTTTGGGTTTTCTTTGAGTTCGACCAGGCGACAGTCAGCGTCGCCGTCCCAAGCGTCCCAATCGGCCTGTCGGTTCAAAGGTGGTGGGGGTGGTTGCTTCCGCTTGCGTGTTGTGGTGGGTTGTGGATCAGGGGGTGTTGTTGGAGTGTCGTCTGAGTCTTGTAAGGGTGGTGCTGGTAAACGGATGGGTGGTCTGGATGGTGCTGAGTCACAGGATGAGGTGGTGGATGGTAAACGTATAGGGTGGTTGGGCGGAGTTGGAAGTGGCTGAAAGTGTTGGCGGAAAGTGGGGTCCGCTTGGTGGCTGTGGTGGAGGAAAACCGTGTGGAGGTGTGCTACAATATCTGTTGCTTGTCGAAGCAGGTTGTGCACCTGCGAAAGTGCCACTGCGGTTTTGTGTATGAGAGTTGAGGTGTCGTTTTGTAGAGGTGTCGGTGTGCTGCTCATGAGTCTGAGATGTAGGGGTGTGCAGTGGTCAAGAATCGTCACAGGTTGCTGCGGCAGCGCGCCAAAGCAGCCGGACAGCGGCGAGTCTGAGGGAGCGCGTCATCCCGAGGCCGTGCATATGAATTAAGCGAGCATCAAATTCCCACAGGCAAAAGTGCGAGTATGCAATGCCGGTTGGACAATTGAGTACATGACTTGAAGAATCACTCTCCACGATGCAGAATCTGACATGTGAAAGACTCCTTCAAAACAGCCGGTACAATTCGAAAAAGTTCTCAGCAAACACTGCAGAGCTAGAAAAAAATTGAGGGTTCAAAATTCGCGTGGCCGCTGCAGGAGGCTCTTTTTTGTTGCTACAGCAAAGGTTGGGTGGTGGTGTGAGACCAAAAGTGGATGTGGAAGTGGTAGTGGTGTGTAGATGTGTGGTAGTGGTGTTATGGGTCCGGTGGAGTGGAGTTGGTGGACCAGGCCAGTCCTTTGACAATGGCGTGGTCCGGGTGGATCACCCAGCAGCGGCCTTTCTGATGAAAGGCTGCACCATGGTGGTCGTTAAGGAGGTTCATGGCGTGTTCCTCACCTCCAGAGGTATATTTTGTGGCAGCACCCCAAGCAAGGAGTGTGATGATAAGGGAATGGGAATTCTTGTGGAGTTGCCAGGTGTTGTGGATGATGCGGGCAAGTTCGTTGTGGTCATGGGGTTGGTTGTGGGTGATGCGAACGCCCTGGGCAAAAAATCCAGGGTAGTTGGCAAAGTGGAGTGTGCTGGGTAAAAAACGGCCTTGGCGTAGAATGTTGGAAATGTTGCCGACGGGGCCTGTGTGGCCTGCGTTGATGTGGGCGACTTCCCGGTGGGTTGATGTGGCGCGGGAAACCGCAGGTGGCTCTGGTGTAGTGGCTTTGGTGTTGAGGAAGGGAAGTGAAATGGCGTAGTACTGGAATTGGTCGTATTGGTGAGTTGTGTCGTTCCACTTAGCGTGGGTATATTGTCGGAAATCGGTGATCTCCTTGTAGGTGATGTTGCAGTCTGTGAGGATATTGGCAATGTACTGGTGTTGTGGTCGGTTGGGATTGTCGAGTTGGGTGGCGTGGAATTCGAGCCATTCCAGGATTTGGTCTGCAGGTGTAAAGGTGTGAAAGTTGGGTGGAGGTCGCCAACGGTTGATTGGGCGACGGAGGACGGCTGTGGTGGGATATTGAGAGGGGTCCGGGTTGGTGTGTTCGGTGTTGGGGCGTAGATCAATGGGTTGTGGTGGCGAACGACTGCGGGATGGCGTAAGGCTGGATGTGTAGGTGGATGTTGAAGGCGACCGCCGTCGCCGGGTTGTGCTGTGATGTTTGGAGTGGCGGTGATGGCGATGTCGGCGGCGGTGGCGGTGGCGTCCTCTGTGGTGATGGTCGGACTTGCGTCGGCTCTTGTGGTGGTGGCGGCGACTGCTGTGTGGTGGTTGCGGGGAAGGTGGTTGCGGTGCTGGTGAGGCAGTGGTGTCAGGTTGGTCTGGTGCTGGTAGTGAAGGTCCAGGCGCTGGTGTGGCAGATATGAGTGATGGGGATGCTGAATGTTGGGATACGGTAGCTGGTGGAGGCGTGTTTTGGACTGGTAATGGGTTGTCCTGGGCAGTCGTGGGGATGGGTTGGATCGGTAGTGTTGGATCCGATGGTGGCTGCTGTTGAGGTGGAGGTTGGGTTGGTGTTGAGGCGTTGATGGTTTGTGGAGGCGGTGGCGGGGGCAACGGTTGGAGTGGAGGCTGTGTGACGGGGGGAAAAGCTGAATAGGGTTGCCAAACGCCCTGGGGGATGGCGCATTGGGGGTCTGTGGGTGGATAATTGGCAATCGCAGGCTGTGGCTGTGTTGGAGGGGGATGTGTCAGTGTAGTGGGGGGGGAAGTTCAGCCGGTGATGTGGGATGATGTGGTGGCAACAGGTAGGACGGGGGAGGTGCTGCTGTCAGAAACACTGGAGTTGGATGTGTGGGTTGCGGTGGCACGTGACATGGTTGGACAAAAGTCCAAGTGGATGGTGTGCCGTAGGTCAGGGCAGTGGCGGTAGGGTTGGACAAGAACGGTGGTGGTTGAAATGGTTGTGGTTGTGGGTGAGGGTATGCCGATGGTTGTGTCGAGGGAAAGGTGGGTGCAGTTGATGGTTGTGGCATCGGCCATGTGGGTTGAGGTTGTGTGGTAGGCAATGGTGGTGGCGTGGTGTGAGCATAGGGCCACGGAAAATGCATGTCGTGGTCGTAGCTATGGCGCGGCGCGGCGCGGCAGCAAAAAACAGCGGAGAAGTGCCGAGTTGTATTGTCTTGTTGTTGTTGAAGGTGTCATCTCTGGTGTCAGTGGTGAGTATGTTGTAAGGTGGTGCTAAATGTGAACTTGTTGGTAGGTGTGTGTTCATGCATCTCGAATTAGATTGAAGAGCTCTAATGCCCAGACTTGAGTTCTGCTGATGAAAAAGTCACGGCATCGATATGGCAAAACATGGAAACACAAACGTGACTTGGAGGAGTGAGCATGATGGATCCGAAATCTGAAAGCTGATATCCGATGTATTCTTCAAGAACCGTTTTTTGGCCCGGCGGCCGGTGTGGCGGTTGATTCTGCGAGGGTGTCGGTGCCTTCCTGTGATGTTCCAGTGAGCGGTGGTGCGTTGGGGTGGTTGCTTTCCCATGCAAAAACGGCGCCCCTGTGACGGGGATCACACTCAGCACCCGAGTGGGACGGCTGAGCAGGACACACTTCGAACTTGGGTTTTCAGTTAACGCAATTGCCTCAATGGGAAGGAAGGCGATGGAACGGCAAGGTGGAAAGGTCAGCTTAAATTGTATTGTTTAACACAGGTTTCACGACAAGCACAAGTGGAGGCGGCGGTCAGCAGCTGCAGTGCAGTGGGAAACCTGTTTGTGGGGAAAGTATCATGTGGAACCACCATGAATCAAATCAAAAGAGTGGACAGCGTGTGCAAAAGTTCATTGAGCAGGTACACAATGCGGCGTCCCGCATTGCTTCACCACGAGCTGACAGCGTCTTCGTTGGGCAATGTCTGTCAGTCGTGCATTGCCCCCCTGCCTGTGTAACATGGGAAGAGTGGTGGGGTAAGACCCTTTGTCCAGGGTGGGACACACACACACACACACACACACACGCACGAAGATTGATGAAGATATAGACATTTTACTTAATACACATTGTTCAATACAACATATACAATATAAGTATTAAAATACAACTGTGTTTCCTTCATTCGTAACAATGCTTTGTAAGTTGTATCGTAAAGCATGTCCTTCTGATCACATCGAAGGGTCAAGGCTCAGACCATCCACTGCCATGCTGTAGCCAAGAATCCAACGTGGTCTGCATCGAAAAATCATTGAACCCAAAAGGACACTGAAACATCTCTGAAACGGGTTGAGTCTTGTATTGCTCAGTCGGTTTTATTTTCTAAAATTTTGGAACAAAATCAATAGAAGTGTGAGCTATCCTGCGTCCAGTAGCAGTAGCGTCCTACTTAATAGCTGGCCCAGACCCCGGCTAAAAGGGGGTTAGTTCTCAAATTGGGCATGCGCTTCTGAAAGGACCTTCATGAAATATTTGACTCTTTCCAACTTCAGCCATCACAAAAGGTTGTGCCATTCCTACAAGTACTGCTGTGTCATTTGGTGGAACATCTCTACTTGTGTGTACAAAGAAAACACTCCCGGCTGACTGTATCCATTTCACCTGGCCTGATTTGCAGTAGCACTGGCAAGCTACGGACAATACAGGCCTGAGGAGAATCGCTGACGAGCAAAGTCAATGTGGAGCGACTGTACAAGCTACCCTACTCACAGTACTGTCGCCCAATTCCGCCAACGCAGAAAAAGAGTGGTGTGACAAGAAGGTCCTTTTAGGTCTGCCACGTCCTGTATAAATTATGATTTGATGCTTACAGCTCGCAGTGTCATCCATCAGCCTCAGGAGCCCAACCAACAAGTCACCGCCAGCTTCGGGCAGGATCAGGCTGGTGCCCTCTTCGCAGGGTGCATGCTGTCTTCCGCATGAGATTGAAACACTGTGAGCCCAGGCAACAATTGCCAACATGAACCCCTGAGAGAACAAAATAACAAAACACAGGACCAGGTGTTCCACTTCAAGTATCTCACAAGCCGTGCCAAGCTGCTACTTCGCCCTCCCCAGGCCTTGTGTATGCGTGCGCCAGGCCTCTTTGGGCATTCTACCTGGCATGATCTGAGGTTACACTGGACTACGGAGCACAGCTAGTTCGACGAATGACGAATGCAATCATGCATAGATCACAGCCGGAAATTCCGCTATGCACACGCCAGGACTGCGACCAAATCAGGGATTTGCCAGCTGGGCACATCCACAGTGGCGCCCAGCTCATCTGCATCCTCAGCAGAAGCAATGGTTGCGCCCAGCAGGGTTGATGGAATGGGCCAGCTTCGTTAGATTCTACCATCTCAATTGATCAAAGAGTCCAATGACACAGATTAAATATCGATCATGGGAGGAGGACTAAGCTTTAAAACTTGGAAGAGATCTGCAGGATTCATGAAGCAATTGTGCCAAGGTCCAAAGAAGTCAAACAAACCCTTGCGCCTGTGTGTTGGCAAGGAAGGGCACTGGATGAACCTTCATGCAATGAGTGCTTTATGTGTCGTCATTCAAACTACTTGCTGCTCCTTGCACCGAAACCATAAATTATATTTGATTATATAAGGAGGACGCCCTCGATCTCCAGAGGCCGTATTCGGCCAGGAGCTACTAGTAGCGTCTTTGCTCCTAGTAGAAATTCAAGCCAGTGTGGCTTTTCAACCAGGTTGAGGCCAGGCCATCACAGGCCGCCTGGTGAAAAGACTTGACGTTATTCAGGCCATCTTGATGTTCATCCATATTCTTCGTTGCACCGAAGCAAACGGTCAAACACTGAACTTCTCTAATAAGCTCTCAGAACAGTGGTGTAGTAATACCTGTCTATCTCCCCAAGCCTGTGAAGCCTGCCGCGACTGGTACCGCGCCTTTGCCTCTTCCAGGTCATCCCCTCCTGCACCACCCGAAACATTCAATTGAGCAAGGACGGTACGATCGGGGCTCCTGGCCTTACTATTTGGAGCAAGGACGCTACTGGGGGCACCTGGCCTTTCTGCTAGTAGCAAGGACGCTACTGGGGTTCCAAACGAATTCGACACGCACGACGACCCAGGTCTCCACGCATCAGTGTCGATGTTTCCCCCCTCGGTCCTTTCTCGACATCACTCTCATCTGACTCGGCACCTTTCTCCTGGACGCTGGACCGATGTTCACCGTCTCCCATTTTTACAAATGTTCACTTGACTTTCACCATCAATATATTGATATATATTGATTATATTGGCTGAAGTTCAGGAGCCAATGGCAGGATTGGAAGTTGAAGGGTACGGGCCATTACACTCTGAGTAGCACACAGCGCAATCATGGCGCAACATAAACGAATGGCAAATGGAGGGAACAGCTTGAGTCAATTGAGAAGTCAGCAAATCAGCTACATGTTCTGATAAATACACAGAGCTCGCGCCTTCCGGAAGCGGCACCTGGGCAAGCTCACGAACTGGAATCATCCCAAGGATATCCCAAGATTGACTATTCAGACTATTCGGACCATTCGCATCTAAAGAGACCATGCACATTTATCCCGATCATTAATCCTAAATATCCTAGGAAGCTTCTGTACCGTGAGCACACAGCAAAAACAGAATGTGCTGGCAAATGTGAAGAAACAAACGGAAAGCACATGGATTCTTCAATATTTTCCGTGACATCAAACGCGTTGGCCTGAGCCACTGATGAGCGCAAGGCCTTGTGCTACGCAATTTCCAAAATCTCCCAGATTCGATTGCCAGCAAAGCGCATGAATCCTTTACCTTCTATTTCTCCTTCTATTTGATTGTCCCAACAACAAACTAGCTATCGGCACAAATGGATGCCTCTGAGGCATAGGGTGTTCAAAGCTCAACTGCTCATCTATGGAAGTATTGTCGGGCAATCCCAGCCTTCCTTTCACGTGAAGATTGTCACTTCAATGGTACTTGCTACGAAATCCAAAGCTGTTTGACTTGAGCGACTAGGCCAAATGACGCCTAAGCCTTTGGCAACCGGCACCGCCTTCGGCAAATGCCCAAAGACAGAAACCACCTCAGGAGGTTCAATGATTCTCGACTTTAAGAAATACTCGACATGATCCAAATGTTGCCTGCAAGCATAAGTTGCATTGCACACCATCGTTGTCCTGCTTAGTCCCGGGCATGATGAGGAGAGGATGGTCGTCATGGAAGGAATGCTTGAAGCATCTTTTTCACTGGGAAGCGTGGCCAAAAGCCAACGCAGTGGATCTCCGGATATGTTTGGATAGGTGGATGCTCTGCCTGCAAAGCTCATTGAGTGATTGGAAGAGATAGCACAGATGAGGGTCTGCGGCTATGCAATCATGTCATCAGTGCCGGCAACTGCTACAGCTTGAGGTGTGCCAGGTTGATCAAACAAACCTGCTTAGCTTAGAAACCTCAAAGGTGCTGACCAGGTATCCGATGAGATCCCTGCCCCTCCGTCGCTTCTTTTTTCACTGAAACTGTCCAAATCGCTTTCCTAAAACTACCAAAGAGGCTGGACGTGGAGTCAACTCTCCGATTGCACTCTGAATCTTTGATTTGCTCCACCACCTGCCTCCACCACCTTTCAACAGTTTCACCCCCTGCGAAACCACCGCCCTCACATGTACTGCTCACGATGGGCCCCACTTCGTGATGTGTGCCGATACCTGCAGGTGGCAAAACTGTGAAACCGCCAAGTCACCCGGTGGATTTGGACCGGAGCAGGTTAGTATGAAGGGCTTAGCACCCAGAAGAAGTAAGCACGATGTTGCATGCAACTGGGCAATGGTTTATGTTCCAGTGATGGATGATAGGGGTTACTTTAGTATACTTTATTTATATAGTAACATAGTATTCTTCCAATGACGGGGAATTCTGTGCACATTGCGTCCTTGTGATACCATGATCCAAGTTTGCTTGCAAACCCTGGCTTGCGGAGATTGCCGGCGCACGTAGGAGCAAGGCAAGGCTTGCTGCCGGGGGTGTAGACTTTGCAAAACTCCTGCATCCAGTCGCAAGCAACAGCACCACATTGACTCTGCCGACGCAACAGTCTTCTACCATTTCCCCCCAGCAGACCTCCGGGTCTATGTTCAGCGTGTTAGTTCGGGTATACATCGCTGTGTATCGGTGATGCCCAAACTTTCACGGTCGGCCATTTCAGGGGTACGCGTGACGCGGTGTTGTGTGTGTCCTGCTCGGACGTGCGCCGTGGCTTTCCCAAGAAGCTACGCTCCAACTGGATGGACATCGTGAACCTGGCCGTGTCGATCGGTTTCTTCGAACCGATTGGGGGAGCCCTTTGGTGCTTGCACCCACAGGAGTAAGCGTCGGTGCTTAGAGGAGCTGAGATGGAGCTTGTAGAAGCATACAAGCGAGTCTAGCAGCATAGAAGGGACGGAACAGATGGTGTGTATAGTAGATTCGGTTGCCTGGACTCGATGGTTCCCACGAAGAAGTCCGCCCTGCACATGCTCAGCAATCCATTTGAGAATCTGTACTCCAAGCCCTGTGGAACATCTCACTTATCGTATCGGTCTCTAGACTAAGCCATTTCTAGCAACAAGGAATGACTTCAGCTGCTAACCGAGGTGCCTGATGTGCGTAAGGCTTTGCAAGTGCTTTTGGTTCTTGCGTTCATGATGAGAAGTTGGCCTTGCAGCAATCCAGGTCTCCACAATAGCCTGGAATCAATGGTTGAAACAAACAGGTTTGAGTCTGAACCTCAGACAAAGGTTTCTCACAGGCATCCATCACAAACAATGTTCATATGTCGAATCACCGCCTTGTTGTTCTACGAGCATGTCTTTTTGCTCTTCCATGTTCTTCCCAGACCAAAGGCGCGAAGCAACGCATGGCAGCTCTTTTTTGGATCAATTTCAATGCTTTGCTTGCCAACTTCCTGTATTGCGCTTCTCTCTACATTCTGGACTCTGCCGAAACAGCTGGGACATCCTTGCCCAGCACAGACTCTCTGAGAGAAAAAGACTCAGGCTACTTCAGTAGCCGTGGCATTGTGGCATGTTGTGGCTGGCAATTTTTACCCCGCCTTTTGCACATTTCATTTGCTTTGCAGATCTTTGGACTCTGTGTCCAATGAAAATTCTGGAACAAGCTCAACTCTCGAGCATCTTTTGTGGGCACAGACACATCAGCAAGAAACAAAGGACATCTGGAATCAAAGAGCTTGGTCTTTGCAGTCTTTGCCCACGGACAGGGGTGCTCTGTTTACTGCTTTCTGCAATGCCACTACTTCAGGTTTCGCCACTTCAGCCTCAGCTCTGAGGCTCACAGTGACACCTGAGGCACAGGGCTGCGCAGCGCAGGGCCAGCTGTGCAGCATGGCGGCACCCATCGCAGGGGGCGACTCACTCGGTGCGTCTCGGTGCGGTGCTTTTTGGGCGGGCGACTCACAAGGACACGTTCACACCACCCGTGAGGGTTGCATCACTGTGGCCTCCTAGCGGTGAGGGATGTGAAAATCCATGGGATGAAAAGAAGAATGTCCCTTGGACTTGGTCGTTCCGTGCAGAAGTTCAGAAGTCCCAAACTGTTCCGCAAGGTTTTCACGTTTTCACAAAACGGATGCAGAAACAACGAATTCGCGAAGTGATTCAGAGCTACGCTCCTTGTCGTGCACCTGCCACACCTGCAAGGACGGTCATGCTCGGTCGTGGCGAACAGAAGTAGACAGCTGACAAGTGATTTGCACAAGCACAAAAAAAACAAACAAACTTAAACTCATACAAGCAATGCCGCAAGCTGAAAGAACTGACGCACAGCCTTTATCACTACTTTCCAATCACTAGCTTTGCCATGGAGCATCCATTGAGTTTGTGCTATTCTCATTGAGTCTGCGTCGTTGCTGCCACATGAATTGACACAAACACCTGCAAGGCTGTGCTGGGGCTTCAACGCCGGAGGCCGCGCAATCGCTTTGCTTCTTTTCCGGCCTGGCAAGCAGAGTTGCTCCAAGATGTTCCAAGTCACCATGTTCATTCTATCAAAAGTATTTCTGAGCAGAGTATGTTGGAGCATCTTGTTGATTTAGGTATGGGGCAGGGGGCATTCTCTTTCAACATCCATTCCAGTAGCGGCTTGTCTCGAGTTGAACATCCAATCCGATCCAATCAAAAGTTACACCTCTGGACATCGTTACACTGTTGATCTGCGGTGGACAAAAAACTCGCTTGACCGATTCTGGCTCTGCACTTTGGGTAGATTCTGCCTATGCCAATTGGTTCCACACAAGGTGATGGACTATTGGGGATGGATAATGAGCTAGCAGCTAGCAGCAGCCCACCCAAACTCAGCAGCCGAAAACTATGCTTGCCGCTTGCCTGCACCATAACGTTCAAAACAAGTTGAAGAGTGTCATCGTGACCTCCCAATCAAGTAAACTGACGCGTTCTGGACTACAGTATAACAGAAGAAGGCACAGCACAGTAGTAGTCCAAACGTCGCAACGTCAAACTGATGTATTAAATGGATGGATATACTGTAAAACGTATATAAAATGATATAAACTGATATTAATCTAATCACCCTATGAAGAAACTGAGGAACGCTCCAAGATCATCATCAAGCTCGAAGATGCGACTGACCTGCCGCAGCACTGCCCATCAACTCGTAGGCTGAGTTTGGGAAGTGAAAGACCACAAAAACATACCTCATGGCATTATAGCAATGGGCTCCAACCTCATCTTGCAACATGCGACATGCGACATGCTCCAGTCAAAACACTTGGTGGGATCGAAAAAAACCATCTGATACATTCTGAAACCATATGTAACAGGTGGACATGCCTGATATCGCCTGACATCCAACTTTCCTTCTCAACGAGCTAAAAGCAATGGGTCATCAAACTGACACGCGTCGAACCCTCTGTGAGATCGAGAAGACATTCTTCTCAGGATGTTGAACCTTGGACCAAAGATTCTCTGGACTCTGTGCCTTTGACCTTCCATCAAGTCTCAAGTGCTGGGTGAGCAACAACCAATGGCTGTCCGTCACTCCACTTGGCCAGCACCTTCAGAAACAAAGATTTACCCACATTGACATTAAACTTTCATTTGAACAATCCTCCAAAATAACGATTTTACACACGCAACGGAGGTTCAGATGCACGGAAAGGAGCGATAGACCCCCTAAGCTTTCTGCTCCCGAATCTCACCATAAGAGAAGCCACTGAAAGAAGGGAGGAAAAAGAAGAACGGAAAAACACGGTCAGTATCAAGACGTGGACTGGAGTCCTACAGCTTTGGACCGCAAATCGGCGACACCGGCCGAAGGAAGTCAAGCGTGTTGATCCAACGAAGAAACCTAAACTTATCTAAATTAGTAAGAATGCTCCTAGTAGCGATGCCAGGAGCCCCTAGTAGCGTCTTTGTTCCTAGTAGTAAGGCCAGGAGCCCCTAGTAGCTTCTTGTTCTTTGTTCCTAGTAAGGCCACTATGCCAATCTTCCAAGGCTTAGAATGGTTCAATCATGTCAACTAAATTATATACATTCCATATACATTCCATACAGTGACACACCGACTTCTTATCGCATCTTCGGTGCCTTCGCGCCCTCCACCAGTGTAGATTTGATGCGCCGGCGCCTCGGACGTGGAATTCGGGTGTTCGAACTGCGGAAGGTCACAGAATGTACAATGGTTAATGACGCTACTAGTAACAAGGGCATCGCTACTAGGAACAAGAAGCTACTAGGGGCTCCTGGCCTTACTACTAGGAACAAGAAGCTATTAGAAACAAGAAGCTAAGAATTCAAAGGCATCTTCCATGGTTGGATCAACAATGGTTAATTCATGTGAATTAGCTAGCAAGTCCTAGGGGGGTAGATAGATCATGATAGATCATTGGTGCAGTGTAGTTGACCTGCATGAGAGTAGTTAATTCTTGATTCTACAACTTGACCACGAAAAGCTGGTCGGTTGGTGCAACCAAAGCACCCATTGATGGAGTCAACTCCGCAAAGGATTCGAGGACGGCTCAATGTATCCTGGAGCCAAGGGATCGTACCATGCCGCTTTTGAGCACAAACACATTGAGCATTGAAACTATGCCCTTGCCTTAGGGAAAAGCGTTGGTGGGGTCACTAGTGTGATGAAAACAAAGAACTGATTCTGCAAGTTGAGCAATGTTCTTCCAGTTGTTGTGCCTTTAAAGCTTGATTGTCGTTCATTGCCATGCTGTTGTTCCGTGGATCTAGCAGCATTCTGGGTCCTCAAAACTCTGGAAAATGGTTTGACTTCATGTTGCTGTGGTAGATTAAATCATATTAAATAATTCAGCTACATCTGAGCAATGCTGCGTGACCACCAAACCGCAAAAACAAGTCAAACCTGGCTGCGCTTCGTGCCCACGTCCAAGGATGCGAAGGTTGGACTCGATAAATACACGTCCTGCAGGATAATGATGCACCAAAGCCTCTTGTCTGGAAACACACCATTTCACGGTAACACAACAAACAGAAGACACAACAAACTGCATTTAGTTGATGTCCTCATAGGGTGTCTCATCCCCAACCTTAGCAGCTCAACCACAAGAATCACATAGTTGATTCAACTCACTGATGGTTTGATTTGGATGTCAGTCATTCAGACTTTGAACAACTGGAATCTGTTATTCATCAGCCCTAGACTTTGCCGGTGATCAGTGGCTCATACTCCAAATCTCGCCAAACCTGAGGCCAAGAGAATATAAACTTTGAACAAATCAACAATGCAAAAGGAAGCGGCAACTTGCGCCATCGCACCCTTGCATCACCGGCATCACAAAAGCACTAGCAGTTGCAGCATGTAGGCAGCCTGGGGCGCGCACCCCCTTACTCAGGCCACCAATGAAGGAGAGCAGCACTGCACCACCACCTGTTCAAAGCCGTATTCGGTGGGCTATCGGGGAATCTATCGAATCACAACAAATGCAAACAGTAAGCTGTGTGTTTGCATACATCTTTGGTTTCATGTATCTCCAGCAAAACATTGATGTCTCATGCAATATGTGTGTACAGTAATATTGCGTTCGATTGCGTACCCATACTCCATGGCCTTAAAGCTTCAATCAACTTCAGTGATTCATCCGTTTCATCCGTCTGTCGGTTCTGCGCCTTGATCGACAAAGTTGATGAGCCTCGAGATGCGCTTCTCCGAGGGCGTCCAGGGTGCCAAGACGAAGGCCACATCCACCTCATGCAGTGCTCAATATGTGAGGTTCAGGTATGGGCACGGCGCAAAATGGCGCGCCCAAAATGAGCAAAGTATTCGGCAATACCGGAAAGTCGATGGACTTCTGAATCCTATATCTCAGCCAAAGCCAAGGGCTGGTGGCTTGGAGGTGTTGCACAATCCGCTTCTCCACAAACCACAAACCCAAAGACCCCTCAACCCTGTTGACATCATCCGTAGTGACCGACACAAATATATTGTTTATTATTGTTTAATCAAATATCCAAACTGTCTCTGCACTTATATTATAGTCTCTTGGAGACCCTATCCCCAGGTCATGTCTGCGCCTGTTCCATGACAATTCCACTGTCAGGGCTGTCACGCACAGATGTTGGCCTGAAGCGGACTTGTGACTTCAGTCAGCCATTGTCGGCCAAATCAGCAAGGAAAGCTAGATGCGCGATCTGTCTTTAGGAGACATGGCCTGAAACTGGCTGAGAAAACTCGACTCAGTGCAAATGGCCTAAAAGCCTGTCAAGCTAGGATAAGCCACAGTAAGCTTAACAACCAAGAACAAAGCTACCAAAGTCCGAATCCCCGAAACAGGGAATAGGACTCATAGGACTCTCCAAACAGAGGATTGGAGTCTTGTTGAAATCCAGGTCCCGCCTGGCGAAGATATTCTCCAGAATGGCTTTGCCACCCAGGAATTCGATCTCTTCCGCCACCAGGGTGGCAGCCTCAATATGAACGCTGTAGAAAGCCGCGTTTGAATGGAACAGTCTGTGTTGGTCTGCATGATTAGCCTGCATGTTTTCTTGCAAAACGCTGCGCATGCTGGCTGCTGGAATGTTGGCAATCTGAGTCCAAGTGGCGGTGATGTTGCGCTCTACATCTTGGTCATTGCGTGCATCGGTGTCCACTGAATACATGACAGCACCTGCAGCCAAAAGGTTTCGTAGAGTGATGCTGTATAGTGTTGGCAATATTCTCTATCCTTGTGGTTTCAATATATAGGAGCAGGATGGAACAAGTGCTACATCATGCTACATCTAAGTCTCTGGCACACCATGTCCTGTCAAACCGTGGCGACTCAATTAATGCACTGAGACTCAGATTGAACACAGTGGAAGATCATGGTCAAGTCGCATCCACATCACAACCGCATAGATTCAGCCATTCGGAGGGTTGTCAAACGGAATCATTCTTTGCACACCACTGTATGCTCAAGAGAAAAAAAAAGAAACACACAAAAGAAACATCGTCTCAGCAGGTTCTCTCTGTCCTTAAAGGGCTTCCGTGGATTTGGAGGCGCAGGAATGGGCCACCCTTCTGACAAGCATTGCTCGGACATCAAGGCCTCAGGCTGTGCTTGGAGAATTCGCCATGAATTCGGTGAATGAGACACACTGCATCAATGCTCCTCGAATATTGACCGCTGCGGAGAATGTCACTCACTGAAGGAAGCATTCAAACAAAGGGACATTAAAAGGGAATGTAGGGCCCCCTGTACAGGGACCTTCCCCTTTTAATATAGTTTTCTTCTCATAGTCAATAAGAGCGAAAAAGATCGTTCCGCCTGCAATGCGTGATTGCCATTCCGGTTGAGGACCTGACACACACAGGGTTGTGCCATTCAGAGAAACGCACAGGATTTACAGAGACTTGGATGAGTCACACAATCATATACTGTACATCTTGGTGCAGGTGGTGTCTTTGCGGAAACACGTCCAACGCTGCACTGGCAACATAACATAATCAATAGCAAAAATTGGGTGCCTATAAACCACACCCAAGCGCACGCTAGCTAGTTTGAGAGCAGTGAACTTGTTCCTGCCTTGGACCAAATCAAAGTCATCCTCGGTATCATCTCAACCTGGGCGGCCCTCACCTGGCACTGAACATCATCGAGACGTTGCCACTTCTCCAAAGCCAATCATACATGACAAGGACCCTCGGGTGTCCCGACATCTCTCTTTCTGACACATTGAGAAGCAAGCTTCGACCGACCCGTGTATCTTTAGGTCTTATGACCTCGCTGGAGCCTTTGAATTCACTGCAAACGATCCTACAATATCACATGTAAAAGATTGTAAACATGTGTAAAGCCCATCTGCCCTCGTAGTGCCCTGGGCCGCGCCATGTAGTTGTTGGAAAGGGCACCGAAGCGGATCGCCCTCAGCCAGAGGTACCGGCAGAAGTTGTTTGGACGCAACTTTCTTTCTGCCAACCTTGATCTCTGAAGGCAAAGGCTTAGATTTACAACGAGCTATTACGGTGCCCTCATGCTAACTTAATTTCTTGAGTGAAGCTGTACATTCAACCAAGCGAGGGGGTATGCACAACTTTGTCATGAGATAAATACCTGTAGGCCCTGTAGGCCATACCAAAAACATGATTACTGGACGTGACCCGGAGGTCTGAGCCATCTAAGTCCATGGCTGCCACAGCTGTTGAGCCTGAAGTTGGTAAAACAAAGAAAACAGCAATCACTTTCTTGAGAACTCCTCAGACTCTCGGTGAAACTCTGTGACTCTCAAGGTTCCGGGACTCCTGACTTTGGACGACCAGAGACGAAAGTGGGTCATCTCTTCAGCAGAGAGCCCAGATTCATCCAGATTCTCTTCCGCCGAGGCGCCAGGCAAAGAATAAAGAAGACATACTTAGAATAACTTAAGAGATCAACATGATCAACCAGAGCGGAACAAACTCATCGTGACCTATCATGACCTGTCATTCTCAGCTCTTTCTTCGCAACATCTCTTCTGACCGGTGGAACCTTCCGGAACCGAAATTGAACTAGTAGAAGCTACTAGGTGGAGGCCATCGCTACTAGATGCTACTAGTAACAAGAAGCGTATTCAAACCCGCTCCGCCCGCTCCGCCCGCTCCGAGAGAGCGCGCATCGCTCCGGATCACCTCGTCACCTCGCCCACTGGAGATGAGGGAGCTGGCCATTTCCACCACGAAATCGAAGATCTGGACAGCAAAAGGAAGCTACTAGTAACAAAGGGCATCGCTACTAGGAGCAAGAAGCTACTAATAGCTCCTGGCATTACTACTAGTAACAAAAAGCTACTAGGAGCAAAGGGCATCGCTACTACGTGAGAAGGGCACCAGAGGTGACACCGGAGGTGACACCCGTGACTCGCACTGAGTGAGTGGTGACTGAGTCGTGCTTTCAGTCGAGTCCGAGGAGTCCGAGGAGGCGAGGTCAGTCTGAATCCTGGATGATGCAGGACGGTGGTCCAGGCAAACAGGTCTCTTCGATTCACTGAGCTGGAACGTGGCTGTGCCTCATTTTCATGCACGATGGAAATGTCGTCCCGGCGCAGAATCTGCGACAATGTAGCAGGTGGAAGGCGCCTGAGACATGATGCAGTGCTGAAACCTTAAAACCCTTCTTGATCTTCTTGTGCCTCAGTAAAAACAATGAAAGCAATGTGCATGCTCCCACACATGCGTTCTGCAAGAGTGGTTGTCTTGAAGCTTTGTCTCTTAAGAGCCTCATGCAAGCCATCTGAGTTTCCAGGCAAAAGGCTCTCCACCTCGTACTCATCAAAATGCTCGGCTATCACATCGGACGTCGCTTTGATGATCCTGAACTGTTGCTAAGCTCCGTTCTTCGATTCAAACCTTCTCACAGCAACAACTCCTTTCGGCGGTTGGGGGCTGGCAGGAGCTACAAAGCAGCCAAGCCCATGGTTGGCAGAAAGCTTACTTTGTTACTGCTAAGTGCAAATCTGTAAATCGATATCAATTTATGAGACCAAAATAGACCAAAGGTATCTGAGATCGCAGCTGGTCAGCCAGTGGACCACCGAGCAATGAAACGCTGTCGGAGAGAATCCTGGCTCCAGCTGGGTGGGCTCTCCGACTCTCCGACACCGAAAGTCTAGTTGGATCATGTTGGATCCCCATGGCCGTCAGTTCCTCTGGAACAGGCAGCTGTTCGTTTCTCGAACATCCATCGGCGACGCACGGAGCGGTGGGACGCGGACGTTCATCGCTCGCTCAGCTCCCCACCTCGGTGCTGAGGGAATCGTGAGGATCTCGTTGATGCCCTCGACACCTGGGAGTCGGACACTGAGTCGGTCCAGGAATCCGACCAATGATTCACCTGCTCCGACTTGGAAGAATCGACGAGGTGGAACAAAGAACGGCTTGAACCCTTCAGTGCAAAGGCCAAAAGATTCGAATTCAGGCCGTTGGGACACTCGTCACCAGAAGCAAGTGGCATTAGACTCTAGGCTACAAGTATTAGGCTGTGTGACTCTAATGTGGTCCTCTGATTAATAAACGCCCCTAGACTAATGTATGTTTTTTTCCCTGCACTGATTGATAAAGGCCCCCAGAATAATGTATTTCTTTTTTTGGCAGGGATAGTTGTAGTGGAATATGTTTAATTGTTATAGTTTACTTTCTCCCTTTTGAGTTTGCTGGGATTTGCTTATCTTACAGGCTTTTGGATGGAGATGTCTATTAAACATTTGAAGATTTCCATTGAGATTTGATGCTTTTGGAGGCTTTTGGATGGAGATTTCTCAAAATTTAGAGATTTCCATTGAGATTTGATGCTTTTGGAGGCTTTACTTACCTAAGGTCTTTAGTCTTTAAGCTTTCCAAAACTTTCAAAGGTCAGTGCACACTTTCTTTACAACATCCCTTATTGAAAAGTATTGAAAAAACAAAAAAAAATCATTCAAGCAAAGGGGGTAGTCCAGCAAGCAGCTTTCTGACATTATTTAGGGGGGTCCTAGAATAATGTCTAGAGATTTCAGGCTTCAAAAAATATGTTGCTTTAAGTAAACGTGTATTCATTCCCTTTCTTTTCCTTTTGATTTGCTTTACTTACCTAAGCTCTTTAGTCTTTAAGCTTTCCAAAACTTTCCAAAAGTCAGTGCACACTTTCTTTACAAAACCCTTATTCAAAAGTATTGGATGCTTTTGAAGGTCTTTGGATTCAGATGTCTATTAACATATTGAGAATTCCATTTCAACTTTATTGATTTCCTTTTTTTTAGTATTCCAGATGTCTTCAATTTGAGATTTAATTGATTCCCTTTTATTTTTAATATTGCCAGAGAAGGCCAAGAAGATTTTTTAAAAAGGGTTCTAATTGTTTTTGTCATTTGATTAGTTTTCTTGTAGATTATATTGGAGGCCCTGGTTGTGGGGGGGGGGGCCGGGGGGGGAGTTGATTAATCAAGGGACTACATTATCCGTGTGCGGGCTGGGTGATATGTATTTGCTGCCCGTGCCCATTTGCTGGGCCGCTGAGTTTTCACCCCGACCACTGATTACAACATGTAGTGCATGTGCATTAGCGGTACTTGTATCAAATTGCGCTGGTTGATAAGGCTGAGTTTCATTGGTGTGTGCAATCTGACCCTGTCACGTATGCTGAAGCACAAACACACCGAGACATTCAATGTTGGCTGAACTGTCAAACTGCATGTGTGCACAGCATCAAAGCAAAACTATGTGGAGATGGTGCTCACAATTGGTGTTGTGCTTGTTGGCACTCGACTTATTGGATATGTTAAGCCAAGAGACACCGAAGGAAAAGCGATCTGATCTGCAATGCATCTGCCTTGGCTTTGCAACTTCGCTGCTTGGTGACTTCCACGAAAACTGCCTGCTCTATCCATGCTAAAATATCAGATCTCGACTCAAATCTAGACATTGAAATCAAAGTGGTTTGTCAAGTGAGGGGTCGGTTTCTCCCGGTTCTTGCGAATATTCTCATGAATGTTCCTTGTTTCCAGTCGCACCCTGTCATTGTTCTTCAAGACCCTCAATAGAGGTTTAAACTGCTCGACCGAGTCTGATGCACACCGCAGAAGTGGCACGGCATTCTCATCATTGAGAACCAACTCCTGCTGCTTTCATTTGTGTCAGCTGTCAGTTCAAACAGAACCCGACTCAGCAAAGCTGCCAAAAGCATGTGGAAGACCACAAGAGGAAGCTAATAGCAATGGCCTCCAACCTAATAGCGATGGCCTCCAACTATGAATGGCATCAGACAAGCTTGGGTGTGAGGCCTCCGAATAAATGTAATCCAAGGCTTGGCTGAAGAAGGGCCAAACCTGACAGGCCGCAGAGTACGGCTGCGTGCCGCATGCGAGGCCAGTTCCCATAGGTTCTCCTTTAGCGTTACGTCCACCAGAGGTTGCTTTATTCTAGAAATGGGAAAAATGCAAAAGCAAGTGCAAAAAAAACAAACCAAAAAAGCACCAGCAAAACAAAGAGCAACCAAGAAAGCAAAAAAAAAAGGTGCAACCAAAAAAGCACAAGCAAAAAAAGAGCAACCAAGAAAGCCAAAAACGAAAAATGGTGCAGCCAAAAAAGCACAAGCAAAACACAGAGGGTAGTTTGGAGGGGCCGGGTAGGGTTAGTACTGGACAACGGTCTTTTCTGGTGCCGGGTCAAGTGTCGCACTTTTGGTCGCTTTTTTTCATGTGTTTTGTTCCGGGGCCGGGAAAAAAGCGACCAAAAGTGCGACTTTTTACGTGGCCCCGGGAAAAAAGCGAAAAACTGCGACCAAAACTGCACCAGAAAGTGGACCCTCCCCCAAAAGTGCGCCAGAAACATGACTTTAGCGAGTTGGAGGACAAGGACTACAACATGCTACAAATACAACCCATCCTGGCCCACTCCCCTCATTCGGCTCCATCTCACATAGGAAGACTGAATCCGAGGTCTCTGACTTCTGTGACTTGGTCCTTTCAGAACCATGCCGAGCTAAAGCTCGACCCTGCTCTGGGAGGTGTCACGGATCGATCTGGCCTGCTCTGGTAGGATGTGTGACAGATCCGTCTCGTGAACTCGGAAGCCTCAGGCAGGTCGGGAAGGCATCGCGACGTTGGTCAGGGATTGGTTCAGGAAGCTATTGCACCATATATTTTAAGCTTCGAGGAAGAGCCATGATTGATTCATATCATTGAAACACACTACTGTCTACTCATTTCAAGGATTCTCAAGGCATTGGGCTTCCATTTGTCTTGAAACCATCCGAATCCAATGAAGCACTGATGCGCTGGAGAGTGAAACCAACTCCACACTTGCTTCTGCTAGGTTAGCCATGGTGAGCCGGTCCCTAAAAGCACGCGTCTGTGTCCGACTTCTGACTGTAAATCGCGAGCTGCAACGCAATCTTCGGTGAGTTGCTCTGAACGCTATCTTCGGTCCGGTTGGACGCCCCCGTCACCACCAGCTTCCACCCACTCCACCTGGAGAGTCACCGTCGCCGAGACAAGTAGCCTCCAGCACCAGTGCACGATGTGAGAGTGGAGCTCCCAGACCGGCAAAAGCCATGGGCCATGCTCATGTAACTAGTGCTATTAAATGGAGCTTTCATGAACATGGCAGCCACAGTCTCTATGTTGAAAGAATGCACCTGTGCCAGTTAGCAATAAGAAAACTACTAGGGGCTCTTGGCCTTACTACTAGGAGCAAGGACGCTACTAGGGGCTCCTGGCATCGCTACTAGGAGCATTCTTTCTTTCATGACTTCATGACCATAAAGAACCACAGCTGGTGTGGACGGAGCTACGTGCCTGCCCAGCCAGCTGCTGTCCTGTTGTGAAGGCCTGGGTGCTGTGGGAAGCTGCTTATCGGCATATCGGCTCATCCCTGCATCTGCAATCATCTGCATGCACATCTTCAGCATTTTCCCAAGCTTTTATCAGCTTTACATAGCCCCAGCATCTTTGGGAGCTCCATCTTATTTAGCAAGAATCGCTAGGCCATTGCGAAGGATAACAACTGCCAACAGGGTGAAGCTCTTAAAAGGTGGGCTAGGAGGATTTGATCCTGGGGATATGAGGGGGTCCCAAAATAGGTGAAGAATATCTTAAGAATTCGAGACCAAATCATGGCATTCAGGGCAATGTGCGCGGGTCCTGTTCCAATACATGTTTGCTAGAGCAAAGCAAACTCAGCTAGCTGAGGCTAGCTTTCGTGACTTGCTAGCAACAAGAACCAATGGACAGCTGGACCTTGCTTGACATCTCTCTTTCGAACCCTTGTTGCATTGAAATCATTGAAATGTGTTTGTAAATCTTGACAATCTATCTCTGAGCTTCCTAGCACTGCACAAGAAGGCCGAGGCCCGAGGGCCATGACCTGTGAGCACCTGCCCAAGGCTTCGTCCAAGTCTTGAACCGAATTCGTTGGCCGTGCAAGTGCCTCTCTCCAAAAAACATCTCAATTAACATCGTTGGAGCAAAGAACAGCTCGGCATCCTGTCCAAACGAACATCTCATTCGGGTGCCTTATGAATCTGAAAAACGGTCTCCCCCAATCGAAGCATCCAATCCTTAGTGACCCAAGGCATGCCCTTCAGAAACCGCACAGCACCCTTATATGGGCTTCTCCACATCAAGCATCAAAAGAATCTAAGGTCTGACGTGTTCAAAGTGTTTATCTCAGGTTGGTCACTTGTGCAGCTTACATCCATGATGCATATTGATGCATCGCACACTTCAAGAGATCTTTGGTGTGCTCGTCGGTGCTTTCAGCTCCAAGTCGTGGACGCTGTGGAGTCCGGTGCGCCATGATGGCAACTCCTGAAAGGAGGCAACCCAGTCCACCACAATCCATCACAATCCACGATCTCATTGGGAGGCCCAACGTTGACATCGTTAGATTCGAGCGCTCAACAAAAGACACGTTGGATCAGTATGGAGTATGGGGCCAACTCAGTGCTATTGGATCTCTCTTTGCACAAAATCCAGCTGAGACGAAATAGGTCTGAGACGTCCTAAAAACCTGTTCACAACGTGTTGACCGGGTTGGTCGCAAGTTCAAGTTGTGTCAGGCCGGCCCTGCAGGCCCTGCAGGCCCTGCAGTCCCTGCCGGCGCCCTGACTCCGCACCGTGTCAGCATCGGAGGGCAGTTCCGGGAAAGGCACGTCGACACGCGGACAGCGCTTGGCCTTGCAATAAGTCGAGAAAAAGCATCATAAGCATACTACTAGTAACAAGTGCCACGCTAGTAGTAACAGGTGCCTTACTAGTAGTAACAAGAAAGCTATTTAATCTAATTCTAATAGCTTTCTTGTTACTACTAGTAAGGCACCTGTTACTACTAGCGTGGCACTTGTTACTACTAGCTTCTTGTTACTACTAGCATCATAAGCATAAGTCCAAAATCAATTCCAAATGGGTGTGTATTAATCAGATCGGTAGGAGTCTCCGACCCGCCAACCACTAGGTTTCAGCCCTTTTGTGTCAGCTCTGATGGATGGTCCAGGACGGCTATAGACGGGCATACTTGAACCGCCAAAGGTTTTTATCTGTACTGTGGATTTCGTGCCACAAAACCATGTGGAGTTCATTTTGAACATGAGTTCTTGTGCATGCAGCTTTTGGCATCTCCGCCGCTGCTTACTTTCGAATCCTGCTCCTACGCAGGGGCCCCTTTGAGTCATGACATGACAGGCAACGCCCTAAGGAAAAGTCCGTGTTTCATCTTTCACGTGAGCACTTCGAGCGGCTTTCACGTTGGTTCGCTTTTCGCGTTCTTTCATATGTACTATATAGTTTTCCTCAGTACGGCTTATCAACCGCCAGGAAGCCCTCAAGTGATGTGTAAAGACTTAGCAAAATGGTCATATGTGTTCTTGGCCTGCCAAATTCCCGGCGTCGGCAGTGGCGGAATCATTGTAGCCTGGAGGCAGGCAACCAATACTATGTACGAGTTGATGCAAAAGGTTACAGTACAGAGCGATTGAAGGACACGAACAGAATCGTAAAGACCTTCTTCTGTCTCTTCCTACTATCTTCGTAGTCACTAATGCTGAGAGTCTGAGAGTAGAATACATCCAAATCAGGGCTCTTATTATCTATTGGCTGCCACACTGGAAGAGCTCCTCGCCTCCACTGACAAGCTCGCCATGCTCAAGGAGCTCGCGTTGCTCCAGGGAGCTCCACGTGTTCAACAAGTTTGCTTTCAACAATCAAGAACCCATAAATATCCCAGCCTTTGTTCTAGTCTTGATGCAGTTGCTCCAAATAAAAGGTAAATGAAGTGATAAGCATTATCTTATTGAAATGATGGGGGAACACGTGGAGCTGCCCCCACGTCCTGCGAGCAAACCGCCGCAACTAGATGAACCCACAGCAAATCAGCAAACCGTAAAAACAGAGTCATCTTCTGTCCAAGGGCGGTATAGTTGATATAGCAGGCTGTGCAGAGATGTATTGTGACATTCAGAAATGTCAAGCAAAACAGTCCTTGTTGAGATTGAGGAAGTTGAAGTCGAATTGAGGATTTGAGGGGTAGAGTTCTGCTGCTCGTGTTGGACTGTGTGTCTCCTTGTCTTGATGAATTGTTGATGCTATATAAGTGCAATAGACCAATCAATTTAGTGCTGCTTTTGCCGCCTTAGGAAAATGCCATTTACAGCCTGCAAACCTGGAAGGTTTTGTGCTGAGTCTCCAGATGCTCTTTGCTGTAGTTACTGTGAAATCATGGGTAATCAGTGTCTGTGCATTGTGCATGATCTGAGTTTCATGGGTGTCATGCTCCCTGACGGCAGGAAGGAGCGTGTGTTGTGGGTGGGGTGGGGTGGGGTGGGTTTAAAGCGGACAGCAACGCTGTCGGCTCTTGGCCACAGCTCGTTGATCAGGCTCTTTGGCCATGATGGGCCTCAGCAATGCTTGTTTCGCACCGACCAAATTCCCACCAAGCGCATACCACATGTTTTGCCTGTTTGCATTATCTGTGAACAAAATGAGCAAAGTCTACTTTGGGAACGCAAATGGAAGGAAGAAAGTATTGACTGTACCCATTGGCACTCCCTTAGAAGATCAAAGTCGTCCCGGTTCCAGTTCCAGTCTCAGCTTCTTGCACTGATTTGGAACAATGAAAGCGTCGCCTCAAATTCCACAAGGCCAGGGAACTTTCAAGGCTGGCACCGTCTGAGCACGGATCACAGGCTTAAGCTACTGCACCTCGCAGGGTATTTAGATTATTCTTAAAGTGCCCCGAGGTCATTCGGGAAACCGGATGACGAACACCATTTCTTCGATATATATATATAATTTCTCAACACAGCCCTGGCTTAGCCGACTGTAGCCATTACACTGTTTCAGTGGTCCCCACCTCCATATGAAATCCTTTTGCAGCCGTTGCAATGTTCTTTCCCTTCCGATGCTGCCGAAGGAACCAAACCAGGCAGGTGATGACTCCTTGGTGCAGCGTCATCGTGTTTTCCAAATATGTCAAACTCTTCAGTGGTGTTCAGCATTCAATATGTTCAAACCCCATTTTACACCACTTGATTTCATATCTTTTGATTGGGGAGCTACTAAGCTACATTCGTACCAAGTATCCAAGCATCCGCATCTTGATGGGTTCTGCTTGCTGGAGCCGAAGAAAATAAACCAGGGCAGGCTCTTGGACGGGCAAAATCGCAAGTTCACAAGCACGTGGTCTGTTCTGTCGGATGTCGACCAGAGTCCTGTCTTGAGGCTGTACTTTAATTCCAAGTGAAGCTCTGTGAAGGACTGCTGTAAACGCATCTTAAGTCTGCTAGTTTGTTCAATTTTGTACTTATGATACAGTATCTCATGTTGAAATCCCTTCTGATCATCTTCAGACTCGCTCTGCAAAGAAAGACCGCAGAAGAATGTGCTTCCCAGCTCCGCATCACTCCGCTGCGCTCCACACTTCAGCGCTTCCGCCTGCTTCCCCTTGTGATCAAACTGGATCGCACCATGAGCTGTATCCTGCACGCTCAGTCAGGGGCACGTCTGTCACAGGAGGGCTTCACTTCACTGTTACTGGGTTTCTCTTGCTCAGCGAACACTCAGCGTCGAGCGTAGAACACCACTGTGCCTTTCACCTCAGGGTGAACAGCTTGGATGACATTTGGAGGGTCGGAGAGTCACTTTGGAACACACGTTTTGGGTCACTTTGGAACACAGGATTTGGGGTCACTTTGGAACACAAAAGATGTGTCACTTTGGAACACAAAACAACCCAAAAACATGGAACGGTTGACAAAAGCCAATTTCTGAGAGATCACTTTGGAACACAAAACACAATGTTTTTTGCTTAGAACACACACAGACACAAAGGGATGGATGGGGCGGAGTTAAGGATGAAGGCACACCTAGTAGCGATGACACGCGTTCCGAAGCGATCATATTCCTGCGTTCCGAAGCGACTACCTCACCCATTTGGAGCGTGCAGCATAGAAGGCACTCTCTGATATTTGTACTTGGCCAGGTGTTTCATGATATGGGCACTCGTTCTCACAAGGTGTCCAATGCTCTGTCGTCTGATTTTCTTGGCGGACAATTTTGACACCTGTTTCCGAATTGTCCTGCCTTTTCCTTTCAAAACACCTCCAGACACTTCTTGGGCCTCCTTCTGGAGAGCTGATCTCAGGTCATCCTGCGCGTCTGTGGCAATGAAGACCTGCACCACGGAAAGACCCAGATCACTTTCAGTATGTCCGATTGAACTATACCCTCACTTTCTGCAATTTGGTTGGAGTAGGTTGGCAAACCATTCACATCTCCGCCAGGCATCGCAAAGGATACTATTCACACTCTTCCGCCAAGGGTTTTTGACCCATGAAAAGCCACCATGTTCAGCTGTTCACCTCAGACGCTTTAAGTCGCCAGCCTGCGTGAGGCCTTCCCTGGGCATTCAGAGTGACATGTTGGAACCGCACAGTTGGATGGGCCGATGGTTGCCATGTTGGAGTTCTTCCCTCAAAAAGCCAACGAGACCCTGGGCGAGTCGACATTGTGAGAACACTCTCTGTCTGTGGCCTTTCTTGGAATTCTTAAGGGCGTTGCTGCTCCAGGACCTCGTTCAGCTTCCTAAGCTGCGGATCGACAAAGGACAGCAGTGTGCAGCAGACATTGAAAAGGACAGTGGCAACAACAATCTTGGTGTGCGCATGCTGGGCATGCTGCATCCCAAATATTTGCAACACTTGTACAGGACTTGCTGGGTGCACTCCTCAAGTGTCTTCCGAGTGTCATCGCGATGTTGGAGACGTCTGGAGTGGTCTTTTCCCTGGCTCTTAGAAAGTCCTCACGACTTCAGGCCATGAAGCAATTGGAGGACTGTTCAATCGTGAAGATATTGAAACCACTATGACTACGGCTTCTATCTGTGTTAAGAAATATTCTTAAACAAGAAAGTAGACCCTTTTTTTTTCGGAAATATAAGTTACTTCTAGACTCTATTTTTGTAAAAAAATACGTTTTTTTTAAATACGTATTAAGTTCTAATTTGAAGGGCCCTGCCACAAAGAGAAAGAAAGAGAGAGAGAGAGAGAGAGAAAGAGAAAGAGCGCGACCCCTTAAGACAAACTATGACCCCTTTCCATGATACGTACGTAGAGCAAAAGCTTCAGTTTGCTTAAATCTGTTTCAAAAAAACTGTCCCCAACCTGTCCTCTCGGGTGGGCTGAAACTGGTCTGAAGCCCTTTAGAAGTCCCATCGCAGCCTTCAACTCCCTCCCTCCTTCCCTCCCTCCCTCCCCTCATCTCAGATTCTTGAGCATTGTACCATGATAGAACATTATACAACATCCGTGGTTCCACTTTGCTTCCAAAAAGGTTCAGAACTTACATTTTTGGTTCTAAAACCTAAAGTTCCGAACCGTCAGCACAAAACGCATGTGGAGCTGCAAAAGTGATATGGTTACTGATTGTCATCGGAAGTTATTGGAGAACATGGAGCGGATGCATGAAGAGGAGTTTTTAATTGGGTACCACTACGGCCGCAATTAGGTACTATTGGACGCACCGAATTACGACCATAATGGTACCGAATTAAAAGCGAGCCTTCATTACCCTGTAGACCCCCGTACGTATCTCACTTACAGACCCCACATGGAATGACGCGGCACAAGGGCCGCATTGTTT